GGACAGAGGTAATGGCAGTGGGACTGGCTCCACTGCAGAACATTTGAAATGTATCTGATCGGATTTGGTTCGGGTACATTCATAATATTGAACTGATCCGAATGTATTTTGTCCAGCTTGCACTCCATATTCATTCCAATGTTGTATCTGTGTATTGTTTGGGATGCTTGGTGTGGTTTCCAACACGTGCTGCTCCCGATGAATAGACCAACTTCCTTCAGAGAAATCGGAGCCAACATTTATTTTTATTTTTTTTAATCACCACTACCTCCGAGCCTGTTTTTGCCAACCCTGATTTTCACTGCGCACCGAGTTTTGCGGAGCCCGGACAGTTTCTTTTTTTTTTTTTTTTTTTTTTTTTTTTTTTTTTTGAGAAGTTGTCACTTTATATTCAAAGAAATAATTGTGTTGTGGTCGAGGCCGGGGACCTCACAATTCAACCCGGAAGTCACAGAGGAACCATGCTGGAAATCGGGTCCAGCTTCCCAACCACTCTACGCTCAAAAGATGTGAAAAAAGAACTTCTGAAAAAAGGTAAGACTTGAAGCTCAGAAAGAAGGCCAAATTTTAGGAATACCTAAGTCCTCACATTCTTCAGCCTGAAATTCAATAGAATCCGCGACTGTATTTATTTTCTCAAAGGAAGAAGTGAAATACCCGATCAAAGTTCCAGACATCTACCCAATATCAAATTAAAGGAACAACTAAAGGAACAATCTCGATGGCTGGAAAAAGCTGGGAAGGAAAATACGCCTTAGGGTTACCCACTCATCATCACTGAACCAAAACACTGTAAAGAGCCTTTGTTGCCTAGACGGGTTTCCCACCACGGACCCAGTGGATACAACTGTAGTTTGCTCTTCACCGAGTCTCTCATATCATCCTCACCCCGTGAGTTTCACCCTAAACCCCTGCAAACATACCCCAGCGCTTAAGCATCGGGAAACTAAGAACGAACATACACTTACTGCCTATAAACTCAAGGATCAGGAGCTGGGCAAAAAGAAAAGTTGTAGGATTACCCTCCCATCATCACTGTCCAATCACACTGTGAGGAGCCTTTGTTGCCTAGAAGGGTTTCCCACCACGCACCCAATGGATACAACTCTACTTTGCTCTTCACCGGGTCTCTCATTTCGTCCAACCGTTGGTTTTCCCACTGCTCTCTCGTACTAACTACTCTTATAATAACTACAATCGACTAACGCTCCCACCACTGACGATGGCACTCACACTGCCCCCGTAGTGCCGCTGTCGATAGAAGAATAGGCTGTAGGGATACCTTCTCATCATCGCTATCCAGAATACTTGTAAAGAGCCTTTGTTGCCAAGGCGGGTTTCCCACCACGCACCCAATGGATACAACTGTAGTTTGCTCTTCGCCGGGTCTCTCATTTCGTCCAACCGTTGGTTTTCCCACTGCTCTCTCATACTAACTACTCTTATAATAACTACAATCGACTAACGCTCCCACCACTGACAATGGCACTCACACTGCCCCCGTAGTGCCGCTGTCGATAGAAGAAAAGGCTGTAGGAATACCTTTTTTTTTCTTTTTTTTTATAAAGAAAATGCTCCATCTATTGGTGGGGAGCTTCACCTGCTGGAAATCGGATCCAGCGTCCCATTGAAAATACAAAAGAATACATAGATATCTGAAAACGTGAGATTGGGAAAAAGGACCATTTGGCCACCGCCTTTGGAAAAAACCTCTTTCACTCTTTTGACTCATGGAAAAGACACTGCCTCTTCGCCCTTTTCTCAGGGCGCCAGATATACCTATTAGCACAAGCTGTGAGATCTGCTGAGAATTCCTTATATATTCCATACCAGGAGATAGGAACAAGGGCTGATGCTGCGGGTGGGGAAGGGATCTGGGAATTCTGATAGAGGGCGCATAGGCACTGCAGCGCTAGGCTACCAGCCGGGCCGCCCGGGTCCCGGGTGGCCAGCCCGTGCAAGGATCAGGTAAGGTCCCAGCAAAAAAAAAAAAATAAAAAAAATCCAAAAGTTCTGAAACAAAACTATGTTATGCAGAAAAATAAACTGAACAACTTTTGCCTCAGGGTCACATCGAAATTCTTCACCAAATTTAAAATAAAAAATAAAATTCAAAAATATTTTTAATTTTTTAATTTTTTTTTATTATTTTGGCCCGGCCGGGCAAGTGACCCCGGGCCACTCTGGTAGCCTAGCTGCAGCGTCAATAGTAGTCCAGTCACCAAATTCCAACTGTAGGAATACCTTCTCATCATCACTATCCAAAACACTTGTAAAGAGACTTTGTTGCCAAGGCGGGTTTCCCACCACGCACCCAATGGATACAACTCTAATTTGCTCTTCACCGGGTCTCTCATATCATCCAACCATTGGTGTTCCCACTGCTCCTTCGTACTGACTATGCTCAGAAAGAAAACCAAGTTATCAAGAGGCAGAAATACCTAAAACACACAAAGAGAAAAAATCACGAAGTTACTCCGATACATCGCAGAAAACAATTATCCCTCTCTCTCAATCCTAAGATACTTCAACAATACGTGTTTCTAAAAACGAAACACTAAGGGCAGCCTCCGCGCCAGGAAAAGGCTAGGAAATAAACGAGCATCAAACCCCACTTTAGTAAACTAATAGAAAGCACTACACGAATAAACCAACTCTGAATGACAGGAAAGAAGTCATCACCTAGAGTCCATCCTCCATGAAATCCATAACGAAATGTAAGAACCAAGTGCCTAATACGTATGCCCAATACTTAATGGGAATGGAAAAATAAACAGACCGTAAAGAACGAATGCAATGACCTAATTAAGTGAATAAAACAAAACTTGAAATAAATGAACATCAAACTGCCTTGCGATGGCGATAGGTCAACCGAGACATGCTGTAGTCCTTGGACATGCTGAAGCGCTGCCACCGCAGCCGCACGCTCTCCCACTGCGTCCAGATGCGCCGCTCCGCCTTCCATGCTTACCGTCATAATTTCCGTTTGGATTTCACCATGCCCAGTTCTTGTCTCAGGCCTGCTCCAGCAGGCACAAGCAGTCAACGACTCCGAAGTTGCCGAGGTAGCTAGGTCTTTTCCTCCAGAGCTTAAGATAAGCGAGTTCGTAATTCATTGCGATCAGGCTGCCATTGGAGTCGTCCGGGGGCCATACCACTGAACGCACCGGCATCCCTATCCCAATCAAGGGGCAGTTCAGGTATAGTCTCACGTCGACATAGCTCAGCTATGTCGGCTACCATACAAGGGCCGTCTCTTCCCTCACTGCGTCGTACGTCGTACGGGCTCGAGGCGACCACTTGCTTCCCAGGCGCCGGCCGGCCAAGGTTCGACAATCCACCGCGGGCCCGCATTGCGGACTAGCACTGAATTAGCGCACGCGAGGCGCTACCAGATCACTTGGACAGTCCCCCGCATCAGCCGGTTTTGAGCCCGGGCAGTTTCATAGGAGAAGGAACAAAGGAAAAAAAGAAAGAAGAAAAACAAAAAAAACAAACTTCCCGAATGCCTCGATAACCACCAGATACATTCTATGAGGTGCTCGTGTGACTGTGCCCTCAGTGAGGGCATTTCCGGACGAACAACCAAAAAAAAAAAAAAAAAAAAGCTCCCTTATGCGGTGATTGAGGGCGGGTACAGGATGCTACAGCATCGAGACAGTTACGTGCCACCCGGCCTCTGCCTGGCTGGCAGGGCACTACAACACAATCAAAAAAAAAAAAAAGCAAACTCTTTCCACACATAGTGGCCAGATACATTCCTCAAAGCACTGCTGCAACTTCCACCCCTGTCTCTTATACACATCTAGATGTGTATAAGAGACAGGTGCGGTGCCATGTGACTCAGTGCTACCACTCGGGGATCAGCACAGCTCTGTTTCTCACTGGAAGCTGTTCGGTTTTTTTTGCCTTTTTTTTTTCTTTTTTTTTCTTTTGAAAACAGTTCGGGTTGAATGGGTTGTGGGAAGAGAAGGGAGGATAAGGGAAGATGAGAGAGAGGGGGACCTCTGCATCCTGACCCGGGTGCCAGATCCTACTGTTGTGTCCTAGCTCCACCACTCTCCTACCAATCCCAGTCCCTATCTGAACATGTCACCCTCCCCCCCCCCACATACCAATCCATGCCTACTACAGCCTGCGGTGAGGGGGGGGGAAAATCAGCAAAGTCTCCAAGGGGCCTGATTGGGAATGCAGGTTTGATCGTCGTCCAATCCCTGAAGCTCAGATGGTAGTCCCTTTCCTTGTCTCCTATCTCGCCCCCCCCCTTCTCCCTTCCACTCCACTCTACCTTTGCAATCCATCCCCCTTCTTCCCCGCCCA